AGTCAAAACCTCTTGTTTTGTGATAAGTTGGTCACCATTAACCGCAATTGATCTGAAGATGCCGTTAGAAATGTGGACCGGTAAGCCAGTCGATTATTCTCGCTGACATGTATTTGGAAGTCCAGTGTATGTTATGTACAACACCCAAGAAACATCAAAGTTGGATCCAAAATCCAAAAAATGTATTTTCGTAGGGTATGTTGATGGAGTTATGCCGCCGAGGGGATCTCACTATCCACAAGGTGATAATCAGCAGAGATGTGATATTTACAGAAGGAAAGGTGCTAGAGAAAGAAAATGAGAAGCCAAAATTAATTTTTTCGGATCGACCACGCATATGTGCAAAATGTATGCACAAATATGGAGCTTTTCAACAACATTTTGTTGCAAACTTTCATGGTCTTTAGTGAGCGAAATCGAAACATCGTTGTCTTCCTTCTATTTTTGTGTCGGATAGATCTTCGGCGCTTCGCGGGGGAAATTTATGGGGATGCTGTGAAATTGGAACTAGATGGGTTTTTCATAAGAGAAATTGATTATGAAATGGAATTAAAGAGAGCAATAGGGAGAGTGTAAATGAGATTAGAGTGATTAATTTCAAAATTAATTAGGGTTTTGAGAATGGGTTTTGAAGATTTTAACGGTAATTTTGCGCCGGCAGAGAGGAATTCTTCACCTGAGGTTTGGAATGATGAAATGAGTTTTTTCTTCATTGAACANCTGACATGTATTTGGAAGTCCAATGTATGTTATGGACAACACCCAAGTAACATCAAAGTTGGATCCAAAATCCAAAAAATGTATTTTCGTAGGGTATGTTGATGGAGTTATGCCGCCTAGGGGATCTCACTATCCACAAGGTGATAATCAGCAGAGATGTGATATTTACAGAAGGAAAGGTGCTAGAGAAAGAAAATGAGAAGCCAAAATTAATTTTTTCGGATCGACCATGCATATGTGCAAAATGTATGCACAAATATGGAGCTTTTCAACAACATTTTGTTGCAAACTTTCATGGTCTTTAGTGAGCGAAATCGAAACATCGTTGTCTTCCTTCTATTTTTGTGTCGGATAGATCTTCGGCGCTTCGCGGGGGAAATTTATGGGGATGCTGTGAAATTGGAACTAGATGGGTTTTTCATAAGAGAAATTGATTATGAAATGGAATTAAAGAGAGCAATAGGGAGAGTGTAAATGAGATTAGAGTGATTAATTTCAAAATTAATTAGGGTTTTGAGAATGGGTTTTGAAGATTTTAACGGTAATTTTGCGCCGGCAGAGAGGAATTCTTCACCTGAGGTTTGGAATGATGAAATGAGTTTTTTCTTCATTGAACAAGATACTATTTCCGACAAACTTTAGGAATTAACGTTATTTATCATTGGGTTCCATCTGACCTTGGTTAGCCCGGAAATTAGGTGACAGACAATCAAGGAATGATAGAAACTGGAAAGGGATTGTGGAATTGGAGGTTGAGATTCGTCTGTCGTGTTAAAAAGGGAACTTTAGGTATGTTTAAAGATTTTGAATTTTTTGAATCCCATTTTTGCGGGCAAACCTATTTTAGGACAAATATGGTGCGAACTGTGAAGTTTAAAGTCACTTTTGCGAGATGTGAAGAATGTTTGGGAAGCATTTTTAATCGATTTAAATTACAAATGAATAAAAATGAGTGAATAATATTTTGATTCTAGTGAATACGTGAATGAAAATGTAATTTAACTAATTTTAAATAATTTATAAACATTAGTCAAACATAATAACATATGCTAAAACATGATAACAGATCGAGTGGAGTGGGCACGACGAGGTGGAGCGAGTCCCGAGAATTTTGAGATGGGAGTAACTAGGCCCCCATTTGGTCCACATTAAATTTATAATACATTTTTTCTCTTTTTTAATCACATATTTTCTAATAAAATAATATTATACATAAATCAAAAACTTTTCTTTTTTTTCAATCACATTTTCCAAAAAAATATTATTCCAAATATTATAACATTAAATAATGGGGGCCAAACGAGGGCTAATTGTTTAGGCAATAAAGATATAATGATAATATCTTGTATTTGAATCGATTTTTTTCTACATAATGAAGTAACTGAAAAATGTCACTGAAAGACTTTATTGAGCCCATGTTTGACAATCATTAAAGCAAAACTTGATTTTTCTCGAATTTATTTTTAACCGTGCATTTTTATAATAAAATATTTTACAGGTAAATTTTTTAAAAAATTACTTTTTAACCACATATTTTTCGAAAAATCACAATTTCAAAACTCGGGCTGACAAATGCAGAGGCTGTAGAATATGCAGTTAGTCAAATCTAGTATATGTGGATTACCCAACACTGTTTACACCTTTCTATTGAGCCGTTTGTCCCCATTAAAATTTAGATTTTAATTTAAATGAAAGTGAACAATTAATTTTAATTACATATTTTATGTGTTCCATAACGTTTTAATCACACATTTCATTAACATCTATCAAAATTTATTAAAAATCTGATTTTAATCCTCACCAAATAAATACCGAATCAAGTTAGGATAGCCGTAAAGAAAAGAGCAAGTTTTGAGGTATGCACGGTGATCGCAACTTCTTGGGCAACCCGAACCAAATGATGAATTTATCCCGCACTATATTGTTCCCTCGAGTGTGAATAATGATATTCATTATTTACTAGGAAATTTTGCAGTTTTTAATCTTTAATCTTTCCAAAATATAACAAATCTATTATCAACCTTTTTTTTTAGCATAATTCATCCCCAATATTTCAATTATGCACCAAAACTCGTCATTTCTTCAATTTTGACATTTAAATAATGGTTTCACCCGTTTTCTTTAAATAAACAAAAATAAAATAAAGCACAAAAAAGTACAATTAAATCAAATTTAAAATAATTAAATGCATATTTAAGAAAAAAAATCATCATCTCTAACCAAGTTCACCCACCCCCCGTCCATCCTAACCCACCCCAACCCTTGGCCAAACACGAGATTATGCTTTATCAACCACCATACTAAATTTAATATATCATTAATAAAGATCCATATCCATGTATTTTCGTAATATTTATCAGATTCTTATAATATTGTATTCATAATAATATGATTAATAATATTGCAACTTTCTTTATATCAATCACATTGAGTCCATTGTTAGAAAAGATTCGTGTTTTCTAATTGAGTTGAAAAAGATATATACATTGGTTCCTAATAAAGATAATGAATATTTTTCTTTATGGAAAGGAAAATTTAGTGCATAGTATTACCATCCATAAAATTCATTATTTTTATCACTGAAAAATATACAAATTAACGTCAATCTCCAATCCAGTATTGCATACCAAATATGTCCATCATCTCTTCAAACAATACGAAAAAACTAAAGAAATAAAATCTTTGTACCATCCTCGTTTACATAATACATACCTACCTAGAAGTTTCCAACTCTCACCCCACTTCTTGCTACGACCCAAATATCAGCATTTCTTTACCATTTTCAAGCCATTTTCTATTTTCGATTTTCCAAAACAATGAAAACGCATTCCCTTTCCTATTTTCGAAAAAATATTTTTGAAAACAAATTAAAAATTTACAAAGAAAACTCAAAACGACAAATTCATTTTGTGTATTTTCAGTTATAATCAAGCCAAAATTTTCAAAACGCACTTTGGGTGTTTTCAAAATAATTTTTCAAAATACCAAAAAGAACACATTTTCAACAATCTCAAAATGGACACTCAAAATACAAAACTCAAAATGAATTCAAAACTCAAAAAAAAAAAAAAAAAAAAAAAAAAAAAAAAAAAAACACATTTTCAACAATCTCAAAATGGACACTCAAAATACAAAATCCAAAATGAATTCAAAACTCAAAATACAAAATTGAAATACAAAGAGAACAGCCTCTAAACTTTTTCGTCACAAATATGTTTTGAAATTTATAATAAGGGTACAAGTCACTTATTTCTTACTTCGACCGGCAAAATAATTTGTTCAATCTGTCTTTTTAACTCAGACAAACTTGCCCATCTAAATTCTTGCCAGGATCTTTGTATTTTTGAGACATAAAAACTGCAGGACCACAAGACATGACTATTGAACTGCCAAGAATGAGACCCAATGTATTTAATGTAAACTGAGAGCCAAACCAGTACATTGATAGACTGGACAAACTATGCACTGGACCCAAGCATGTGAAGGGATAAGCTTCCTTTATTTTTCACCATGAATCAAGATTCTTGGGTTTACGATTCTTGAACAAATACAGAAGAGATAAACGATTATGAATCATTAGGTAAGGTCGACTATGCACTACTCGTATATGACCCCCAATCCTGCATTCAGCATTCATGTGTAGTTCTATGCAATTGCAACATACTGACAGTACAGACAGTATTTAGGCATAGCTCGGAGTTTAGAGCTTCCAACACGAAGACAATGTACCAAAAAATATATAGCGAAATAACGACCCAAATTCATCAAAAAGCTCAAACAAATCCTATACTTACGGCATTCGATTTTAACATGATTTACTAATGAACAAGTGCAATGTGGATGTATCACATGCCTCAAGAAGAATTTATTATTTTTGTTGACTCTCGGCTTTTTGAGAGAACAAGGAAAATCTCAAAACTCAAATCAAAATTTTGGGCAAATAGCAATCCAATGGTGCATAAACATGCAAGATTTATATATAACGAAAAATGTCGGAAATTAAGAAGAAAACAATAATTCGGAAATGGAGAAAACAAGAATCCCGACGCTACCAAAAAAACTATCAGCAAACTTCTATGGGATTCGAAAGAGATATATTTCCCTTTCTTTATGCAAATTCCTCCTTTTTTTTCTATTTGTTTAGCCGTTACTACCTAAGACTTTTGCTTAATGCAGATAAGGGAGAATGTATCACTCCAAATCATATATGTTGTTATTTTTTAATTTTTATTAAAGCCGAAAATCCAATCTTATTGTCAAAATTCAATGCTTCACACGAACTATGGGCGAGGACTCTTGTGAGGAGGACAACATCGATCACCATCAGGATATGCAAGTCTTCTCTTTGTGCCAACAATCGAGGTGATTGAAGAATTCTCAAGAGCATGATCAGAGCTTGATTGACTCGATAATAAATTCAGGGAAATCACTGATTTTGGGGTATTGAACTTCACAAACCTGATCTTTCGCAGTAGATTATAACACGAAAATATATCCTCCTGTTGATATGCAAAATTATTGCTGATAATCAGATGAAAGAAATCAATAAAAATTACTTAATTATTCCCAAACTAAGAAGAAACTACCAAATTATATAAAAAAGGAGACTCACTTTATCAAGGGACCCCCATGATGGAATAACATTCATCTTAGTCTCTACATTTTCTTCTGTTAACTGATACTCATACGAGGCTAAAACTGCGGCCGCGGCAATAATGAATGACCGAAATTCCCCCACATTAATCTCTGCATCGCATAACTATAAATTCACAAACAAGCTCACTAAATGCGAATCAAATCCAAATCCAAACCATCATTACACGTCGACTTACCTTTTATTACAGCCAAGATCAATTCAACAGCTTGTTTCGACAGTTCTTCGCACCTTGATTCACCACAGAATTTTGTGGAGAAATAATTGAGATAAGCAAAAGGAGTTATTGAACTCATTTTCCATTCCAAAGTACTTAAAACCAACAATTCCATTTTCATAATCACATTCCCTTTAAAATTATATTCATCTACATGATATTCGGATAATGCCGGTACTGTAGGTTCCTCCATTTTTGCAGCTAATGATAAACATGCAACTGACAATAATCTTATAGCCCACAATTTGCTATCCTGTTAACATCAATAAAATTCCAAAATCACATGATATACAGAACAATAAAATCCCATTTAATTATATATAAATCAGGCATGAAAATGATCACATCATAAACCCCAAAAAGGTTACAATAAGAAAAAACTTACATCAATGGATGTTCTTGAAAAGAACTGGTCAAAATAAATAATCGAAAGATAAGCTGTACGAAATTGAAACCCAAAATATGCCCTCGTCTGCGAAAACAAGAACATTGAAAAGCACAATAATAAGTCGACTAATCATATGGTTCACTTATCCTCTCTCTAGTGGAGGTTCAACCGAAAGTAAAAGAAGAGAAATAGAAAATAGACCTCAAGAATCCAAGTAATGGCATCCAAACGGGCGCATTTAAACCATTCTTTTTCACTCTCGATTGAAGAACCATTTCCATCCGATTGAAAATTACTCTCCTTTTGAATTAACAATTGTATATACTCATCATCAAACACAGAAAGAGTGCCCAAATCCTGGAAACAGCGTTCATTCAAACACGATTCATCTTCTTCACAGAGAAGATCAGACAATGAATTATGGTCTGATTTTTCCATTCTGAAAATTTTCTTAATTTCTGAAAGAAAAAAAAAGTCGGCAACCCAGAAAAGAAAATGAGTTAAATTCTATACTAGGAAAGAATTTATTTAAGGGGCAAAATTTATGAAATCTAGAGAGAGATTGATATCCAGTAAGGATGGAAGGAGAGCCATTGGAGTAGCGGTTTTGGTGCCGCCAAATTTAGCGGAGGGAATATAGTATGTTTTTTAGCGGTTAATATACAGTATATCGAAGCAAAGTTGTAAAGTGCATTCGTTTTTTTTTTTTTTTAACGTAAGAACCCGCAACCGTTATCTGTTAGCGGAGTCTCAACCACTATGAATGCGTACTAGTTAAATCTCACTCCATGTGAAGGGGGAAGGGGTGTTAGATATAATGTGCATTAGTGTCGTCGGAGTCACGTTTGCTATGTAGTATTAAATTAGTGTGATCATCATCGAGCACTTCAAAAAATATAACCGTATCAAGAAAAAGGAAAAGGGTTTATATGGCTCACTCTTTTGAATCTCTGATTTTCTCTTGTCATCATATTCGACCAGTTGGGAGAAAGGGTGTTAAATATAATGTGCAATAGTATTGTTAGAGTCACATTTGTTATACAATATTAAAGTAGTGGACCATCAACGAGCACTTCAAAAATTGTAATTGAATCAAGAAAAAATGGAAATGACACATATGTCTCACTCTTCCGACTATCTCTTGTCATGCTATTCGACCAGCTCATTAAACTTCGAATACAACAAGGTTATATATACTTTTCATAAGTATTAATATTATCAAATCATGTTTTTTACACAATGCTAAGTCAAGACTAGTGGGAAATCGACAAGCATTTCGTAGAATGCAATCAAATCGAGAACGAGAAAGCGGAAGGGAAATGTAGGGCCCACTCTTCAATTCCGTTTGTTGTGCATTGAACAACTTATAAAAAAGCTTAATCCAACGTATATAATGTGCATTAGTATTATCAAGTCACGTTTGTTACACATACAGAGATAAAATCTATTTAGGGAAGCTTAATCTTTTAAATTCTTTTTCTTATTTTATATTCTTCGTTATGATCAAATCCAACTTACCAAAAATATCATTATTGCTTTAAAATTAATGAAAATATTTTTTTTTCATCATATTTCCTTTCTTCTTCCATATTAATTTTTTTAAAATTATTTTGTAGGAAAGAGGCAAAAAAGATATGGTGCTTATTTGGATTTCATTATAAAGTAACATTGATATTAGCAATACATTAGCAACTAGCTAACTACTAAGCACTTATTATCCATACATATGTGACAAATATTACCCTTCTTCATTATAATCTCACATGATGAGACCAAAACAAGCAATATAAAATATAGTTGGTATTGATTATGTGTTGACTTATGGGTTAAAGAGAATATAAAAAATAGTGTTTATTTGATTTAACATATAATGTATTATTTCACTAACCAACATTATATATTCTAAAATTCAACCTGATACCTTTTGCTCCTTATGTTAAAAATAAATGAATATGGAAGGATTGATGCAGATCAATTAGAAGACAAAATTCTAAATCAATTAGAAAAGCGAAGGAATAAGAATGTACGAAAATGTGCATAACTTTTAGTTCGATTATCGGATTTTCGTCCAGGAGTGCAATTCGAAAGCGTTTTTCAATTTTGCATATTTTTAAAGGATGACAATTGGCCTTTGGCCAATATTTTCAAACTTTTGGCGGTCAAATTCCATCATTTAGGGGTTCGTTTTAGCGTTTTTCTGTTTTTAGTTAATTTAAGGGTATTTTTTTTATATATTTTTATTTTTATTTGGATTTATCTATGAAATTATATATTCAATGTGATTTTGTATTATTTTGAATCTATAAATACATATAAGGTTGTAAAAATATAACATTTATTTTTTCATTAGTAAGATATTTCAGTTTTTCCCATTATTTTGTGGATTTCAAACATATTTTCACGTCAATTCTAGCAAAATTCGAGCAAACGCCCATTCGTGTGTTACAAATAAGACTTTTTATTATTGTTCACATTTTCGTCCTGCATCAAATGGGGATGAGATAAAAAAAAATAGATTTATAAAGTTTTAATTTTTAATATTCTAAACATACGAAGAAAGAAAAATAGGGTATGATGTTTAAGAAGAAAGAATAAAATAGATACCCTCAATGATATTTACATCAACTCGAAAGGGTTGAGTCGGATAGTACAAAGGAATGACCAGTTTGACGTGATTTTTGAAAAGTCAAAATAAATTTTTAAGATTCAAAAACTGAATTTGACTCGTTTGACTAATTTTATGAAAGTGTTTCTACTAGTTAAAAGATCTTTTAAATTAAGTTGGTCTAATATAGTTTACTCTAAAAGCATATTCTGAAATAAAAAACTCTTTTAAAAATTAATTTTCCAATAAAAATGATAGTAGCTTCCTCCAAAAATTATTCTACAGAAAACAAAAGTAAAAGCAAAATCATGTTAAACGGACCCTAAGTTCGTGTTGATTTCAGTTTAATAAGAATATCTACGACATTTTTCAATTCTTTAAGTAGTAAAGAAACTTTTTCCACTCACACACACACGCTCTCTCAAAAGTCAATCCAATTTATTAAGCATAAATTTTCTCTTAATTCTATGGAGTGAATTAATTGATAACCATCCACAGGGCCCTCTAAGAGGTATAGCCATCTGTCATTAGCCTTAATTAGCTTTTCATTTTTTAATCAATAATTTAAGAATACTAATAAATAATAATAATAAAGTAAAATTGCATGCATTGTTCTTAATTTTTTTATATTTAATATAAAACCACAACCTTTGATATTTAAGTGCATTTTTGTCTCTATTCTTTAATTTTAACTCGAGTTCGTGTTTTTAGGATCTCTGATCGTATTATTAAGAATACATTATACGATTGATAATGCGATAAGTTACAGTAAGAATTTTTCACTCGAAAGTGCAATAACTACCTTCTTCAAGATCAAAATTATTCTCAACGAGTTAGACCCGAAATAAAAATTTGTACATGTTAATATTAAAATGCATAAAAGAAATATAATACAAATAGAGTAATGTAATGAGTGATTTAGATTTCATATTTATGCATATATTAATTTGATTTTGACAGTGTGTGCCCCTGCGCGTGCTATAGTTTGTCATATATGAGATATTGCATAATAATCTTGAAGCAACTAAATATCTGTGGTGCAAATATCACCGTCAAGTCATTTATGAAAATTTTACGTGTTAGAATCTTGATTTGACAAACGAAAGGGGGGAAAAAAATCATCATTCATGTAAATTATTTAACAGTATTGATAGTAAAAAGTGATGTGACACTCTTTAATCAAGATTTATAAAGAGTAAAATGACTGCAGTACACTTCTTTCGGATGTGTAATTTTCGAGCAGCGAGGTGACTCTGATTGGTGGAGGTGGACGTTTCTTGGGACGCAATGTTGACCTAGGACTGATATTTGACCCTATTTTATTTTGTCAAACACTGTCATTGCTCCACTACGGTGGCGGTGATGCAAGTGGGGAGAAAAGCCGCCTTTAGTGCAATCATTAATTTTTCCAATCTCACGTAACGATACTATCTTCACTTTTTGATACAAAGTGATTTTTATCGACGCTTATTGAGTTTATATAACTATTCTACTCTATTTCTAGGTTTGGAGTCATGGCTTTGCCAACTCATGCATGTCATTTGCCACATATAATTAACGTACACATATTCTCCATAAAAATAAAATTAAATGTGCATAAATATGAAATCTAGACCATTCAATTACATTAAAGATAAACCCAACCTTTATTTTTTGATATTATTATTTCCTCTCTTTAATATTATATTTCATTTTCATAAGAATTGAGTGTGTTGGGAATTGGGAAATGAGAATTTATTTTTGGAGAAAAAAAATTAATTTTGGCCCACATTTAAATAAAATCTATGATGAAAAGTATGAGGTATTGATAATGGTATGAAAATTCACGTGAATATGATTACTGGAGCGGGTTCACGTGTGAAAGAGGGTGGACCGGGATGAGGTGGCTCGATTATAACCAACACGCTCCTCGTCCAATCCAAATTATTTCTATATGTAAAGCTCATGATGTAATGCAGACCACTACCACATTTAAAAAAAAAAAAAAAAAAACTAGGATAAAAAAAAAAAAAAAAAAAAAACTTACAGAATATAACATGAAAATAAAATTTACTAATTAATGGAACAACACAAAATAATTTAAATGACAACGTTATTTTGGCTTTCATATCGTGCTGGAAAAAAAAAAAAAAAAAAACTTACTGATAAAGGGTAAAGGGTCCGAGCATCTCGTTGGCTTGCGCGTTCAGCTCGTGAACACGTTAGACTCGTATTGAGACGAGTCGTGAGCTGAGTTCCAATTTTTTTTTATGAGTCAGCTCGCTTTTGTGTCTTGTTTTAGTCATTTCATTAAAACAATCGTGTTCTCGTGGACGATTCGACCCGACTTACTGCCACCCTTATTGGTGCTCGAGCTGTCATAGTGTACACTGGCTAAGGAGTGGACCTAGAGTATCATACTTTTAGGTTTTTATTTTTCAAAAGATTTTCATGAAAAGTTAGAAAAAGTAAAAAGAAGCTTTGCATAGTCAAAGATTCAACAGGTCGCCGGCCAGACGTACGCAAATCTAGTAATCTGGGAATTTATGGACATGTCTAGTGGACTTGTGCCAACCCTCTCATTTCGACACTATTAATTGTTACTTGGAAATGTGTCTAATTCCCCAGAATCTACTGGAAAATTCATTGAACGAAATATCGTGAAAACTATCACATTTTTTTACTTTCATTTATTTTATAAAACCATAATCACATCTCCAGTTAATTTTTCAGGCTCCATCAAAGAAAGATGATGGGATTAGTATGCCCCTACCATGAAATATAAGGAACTCGCAATAATACAAAGGAAGGGGCATAAACCCAACCTCCCATACAACAATTTGGGTAAAGAAAA